GGATCTCCGGCAGATCCAAGCGATGGCCGGTGCTCAAGAAATTGCCATCGTGACGGCCGCCAATGCCAGCGCTATCGCAGCTACTTTAACAATTCGACCCCCCGCGACGACTACGCCGACGTAAGCAACCGATATCTGATCATGGTCTGCAAAATACTGATAGCTTCTCTAGGAGTCTTATCAGCATCGAAACGCTCACTACAGCCAGTGACGGGCACGAAGCCGGAGATATTGTGTATCATATTCCCGAAGGAACGGCCGGACGCATCCAGGACTTCCTGGGGATGACCGGCCTCCAAGAGACCCAGCAGATCTGTCAGGGTCAGTACCTGAAACGTGCTGATACTACTGAGGAGTGCATCGAACGTATTTTACGCCATGCTATGGACCTTGCGGATACCGGCCCAGACAACCTAATGGCCTTGGCTCCGGCGAATATTCCGATTGAACCAGCTGTTGGCCAAGCCATTGGGTTTCCGATTCCTGACATCTCCATCGGCGAGGCCGTAGTTATCGTTCGGCTGTATCGCCAGGTCTTCACTGCAACCACGCCGGCCCCTCAGCCTGACCTGAATTGGGACCCCTCCGTCCTCGCTAGAAGTGCGCTAAGTCTCGCCATCGCTGCACATGCGGCGATGCTCGTTGGTCAGACTCTCCTCGACATATTCGTCAGCAAGAGTGATATCATCACTGATCTAAAGGAGGAGGACCTAACATGTGCTAAAGATCTCATATGCACACTCGATGACTGTAAGGGCCAAGACGAGGTCACTGAACGTCTGAATTGGATGGTCAGTTCAAGTAACCCTTCGACGCCCATATGTCGCACGGTATGTAACATAACCCACGTGGTCGCTTCGCTGACAGTAGTGCACGCAGCCCAAGAATTTCGGATGCAGATGCGAAGTTGTCGAATATCCCTACGTGTACGAGGTGCCGAAAGGATACATGGATACGCAATACGCATGGCTCGAAGAGCTCATCAAGCGAGCCGAAGAGCCTGTGCTTGAAGCTGAATGCAAGAGCAATCTGCAAAGGTTTGATGAAGGGACGTTAGGTCCCCCGAATCCGGGTTCTTCACAGACCTTTGACCCCAGATCCAGCTTTGAAGGGTAAGCCGACTCACAAAGTCCAGCCCAGTACAAATTGCTAATTGTTACCCAGCTGGATTGACACTGCATGTGACAAGTTTGATAATCGGCTCGACAAAGAATGGCACTGGTCATACGACGATATAACTGGATTTGTCTTCAGCCTCCGATGGAGCCAGATACCGGACGGGGTTTCCGACTGCCCACTTGACTGCAGGGCCGCATTCGCGCCCTTCCTAGAATCTTCTGAGTGTAAGTCTGGAAAGCCGAACTGAGCGTCGACTTGCGCTGACATGCTGGGCAGGTGTGAAAGACGAAGGCTTCTCGAGTTCTGGTAAAATCGTGACCGAGTGCGGAAGAGCTTCGTTGTATACACGCACTACAGCATGCACCCCTGAGCATCCGGAGTGCTGCGACACCTTCGGATCTGACTGCGGAGTGATCGACGAGTGAAGCCTGCGAGCTTGCAGGCTGAGTGCCTGCTAGGGTATTATTTGGGAATGTAAAAGCCGGTATCAGGGTCCTGTCTTTGTATGTAATTCGGAATGGGTCTTCATGCCGGTGCGCTTTCTGGAACGGAATGGAGCTGGTCTTTGCAAACCTCTTTGTTGGCCAGTGACGTCATCTTACGCGCTAGAACACGGTCATGACGCCACAGGCGTTTACGCGTTCACGCGAGATATCCATCCCCAGCTTTGACACAATCATTGCACCAATTTTTTCTCTCATCGCACCCTTTCGTCAGCGTGCGACAACAACGCGTCGAAAGTTATCGGACGCCGCGGACTTTAGTCCATCGGCAGCAAGATCGGCCTTCGAGATGGACGATGACGGTCTTGTGCACTGCATACATCAATGTACCAATTCCATTACAACGGGCTGAGATCGATTGGTGGCATGGTTGCTTGCACCCCTCAACGTTCCATGGGTAGAGCTGTGGATCGCGAGCGCCGCGCAATCTTGCCCTCGCTCTTCGGCAAAGGTCCAGATTTCTCCTGGCTGCACTCAGAGTAAGTTATTGTAAGTGTGGCTACTATGCTGGGAATACTTCCATTTAGAATACTGCAAACACAACCCTTCGAACGCATATTGCAAAGCTATGGCGGCTCGAGGTCCACCAGAATCGCTGCAGCCCCATGCGCGGCATCATCTCACATCGCTACCCTATCGGCTACTGGAGAAGTTACGCAGGTGCACGCCACGAACGATACCTAAGGCATCAGTATACACACTTAGCTGGCTTCGCAGCCAAAGGACACGACCGCGCAACAGCCATGTATCCGCACGGGATCGCCACGATGAAGACATCTCTCGAAAGAATCAATTGAAAGACTGTTCCAACCTGATCTTGATGCTACCGAGGGAACTACGCGATCAGATCTATGAGTACGCTTGGCAAGGAACGCATATCTACTATCAGGACGACTTTTGCCTCGCTGGCGCTGTCAACGCGCGGTATCTAGACTGCGATGAACTTTGTGAACAGATCCAGACCCTTCCAGCATGGGTGATCATTCATCCTCAGATTCAAGAAGAGGCGCTTCACTTCTTCTATCAAGCGGCAGAGTTCAGTGCTGGTGACGGCAATGAATACACGACCCCGTTTCACGGATCGACATCGCACATGTCCAGCATCTTGTCGATCGAGAAGGCGCGCAATATTACTGTGTTCGGCATTACCGGGTTTTATGAACCGCATAGAGATACAGCGTCTACCGACTCTTTCGCAGGCTCCTTGGATAACGTAGGAGACTCTCCGGGCTCATTTATAGACTTTGTGGGTCTATTCGAAGACTCTGTGAACATCACGCTGAACGATACTCAACGAAAACTCATTCGCCATGTCACAGATAATGACGCGGTTCACCTTCTACGTCTTTCAACACGACTTCAGCTACGCTCTGGTGCAATGACTCTCATCGAGGAAGAAGCTCACCTCCAGGCGTTACAAGACTTGCAGGAAGCGTCGTATGGTATCAGCCATGTACAGATGCATTTCCAATTGGCATGGCAACCTTCCCAATCCAGCTTACTTGGAGAATTCCGAGTCGCGAACTATCATTTCGTAGTCAGCTGCTGGATCTTCGCAAAATCCATACTTGTCCCGCCTTCAACATATTTTACGCCTGCCTGCTCCGAAGACAAGGAGTCTGAACCGAACGCTGTGGGGCGGGAATCAGCATTTAGAGATACTATGGATTTGCCGCATTGGAAAGACAACAATGCCAACCTTGAGCAGCAATCGCAGGGGATCATGACGACGGCTATGGCATATCGCCGTAGCGGTGTCGGGCTAGAAGATGGTGCTCTATCGGCGCTCGCTCCTGTCTCCTCCAATTAGGCATCGCTGCTAGAAAACGAGAGCCTTAAGGACCCGGAAAAGCAGCACCGGTTGGGTCACAGCACTACGACAATATCTTTACCGACCTCGATACATCGCGAGTGGAGGCTGATTTCTCTACTGGCTCGCCGTCGGCCTTTCCCTGTACTTAGACTCTGGTTGTCTATATTTAACAGCACAATTACGCCCTGCGCTAGACACATCACAAGCTTCAGGCGCCCCTTTCCCCCCACCAAGCCACTGTAACGAACTTATTCCTGTCACTTTCGACTCGAACGTCGCACTTACACTACATTTGAATTGCCCCTTTGCCTTTACACGAACGCGCTATATCAGAGAAATCGAGAGAGTCCTACCCTATTCAGAAATCTCTGTGTACACATATCGGCTCGCCTGCCAGCTTCTGACATCGCCACCAATCATGTTCGAGCATTTCGTACCCAGGCACGTCCCGCCTCTCCTTCTCGCCAGCATCTGGACAGTCGGCGGGCTGATGTCTTTTACTCATGGGCCCGAACAAGCTATCCTGACATACGGTCTCTCCAAAAGCATCGCATCTTCAAAGGCAGCGTGGCCTCTGATCAAGATTGAAGGTTCGCGCGTTACCACTATCGGTATGGCGATCTGGGGAATCTATCTCGGGGGCCATCTGGAAGCCATGGACACACTACTTACTTGCATTGGATGGATGGCAATTATTGACGGTGTGGTATGTGCGAAGGAAGGGTCTCCAGGGTCTGCTAGAATGCGTGCGACGTATCAGGGTGTGGTTGCGCTTTGGGGCTTGCTGGGTATGACTTCGGGGAAGTACTTCTAGGTCGAGCTTCGGAATTAGGTGATGCGCGTGCGATGTATGCGGTTTTCCATCAAAAGACGCGCTGCTGGCTCATCTCTAGTATACGACGGGTTTTTTTGAGCATCCTTATAGATCTCTTCAACCAAACTTGACCGTCTATCTTCTTTCCAAAGTACGAACAAAGTACCCCGTCCCTGAGTTCGCGATCTGATGCCAATACCCAGCCATAATGAGTATCGATCTCTTTGTACCGCCTCTCCATATCGGCGACCATCTCCCGCACTCCCTTAACGGGATCGCGTTCTTCTGATGTGCCCGGTGTAGCTTCCAAAAAGCGGTGGCATAGTAAATCGACTTCCTCGAGACAGCCAGGTATCCTTGCCTTCAGCTCGCTAATCTTATTGACTAGATCTTCGAAGTCTGAAGAGTACTCCTCGTCCGCTTCGTGAGTTTGGTGTTCTGTGTTCATGTTTATGTCGAGGCGCAGATGCAATACGAGCAGCTCTGTAGTAGAGAAAGGAGTGTTAGGTATTGATTCCGGCGATCGGGGCATACGCAATCTCCTTAGTTCAGCACGTGATGTCAGAAGAGTGTGGCTACCTAGGTAAGGCTACATCACATGTATCTTGGCATCACGTATGTCGCGACTTCAATAGCTCGCCTCGTGTGCTGGTATCATAGCATATCAGTGTGGTAAATATATGTACACCAGTTTAGTTCTTGAATACGAGTCGCTTGATGACTCAGAGCGAATCGGCCACTGTGAGCTCAGCTATTCGTCTTCATCTTCACAACCAGCCTCCTTCCGCATTCTTTGGAACATCGTGTCCAGGCCAACTAGAGCCACCTTTGCTCTTTCTGCACTCTGCCAAGCTTCTTCCAAGATATCTTGAAGGCGATTCTTATTTCTTTCGTCGCATTTCAACCCGTGTTTTAGTGTCTCTAAATCCTCTTCCACGATCCAGCCTGACACCGATTCTCGAAAATGCTCAACTGCTTTGTGAGCTTCCTGAAAAAGCCAGCGTATGTCCTCATGTGCCTCCCGCCGCCTCTTCTCATCCATCTTGCTCGTCCCGGGTTTACCGATGTAGCAGATTCGCCAGAACGGACCTGTAAACCCGCCTTGCTGATGGTCAACGCGTGCCAGTTGGCTCAAGTAATGGCCAATGCTCTCCTCGGTGAATTTGCTGTTTAGAGCTTTGATGACATTCATAATATCTGTTTTCCGAACTGTTCTGCTGTTAGTAGCATGCACATATGGTACTATGGCAGTGTACTTGCGGCTGGGACACAGTTCACCTGCAGAAGTCTGCGGCAATTTGAAGACCTCGTTCAGCTTTTTCTCGACTTGCTCCAGCTGAAGCTTCAGTTCTGGCTCATAGTCGTTGTGTTCCTTTAAAACTCTCCTAAACATCTCTAGCGTGAAAGAAGCCTCATAGGTAGGGTAAAGATCTGACATTTTGATGAAAGACTCCAGGTTTGTACGATATGTGAAGGAGTTACACATTTACTGTGCAGGTTTTGTAGGAGACTATGACTGTGTCAGGCTGTCCTGTGCGCGAACAGTCACAGCCAAGATGTGACCCTAAGGACGTGACGAGCCGGCATTGAATCAAAGCGTGTCACGGCCAACATCAAAATGACCCGACAAAGAACAGAAGCATGGACACCGTCCCTTACAGAATTCTCACGTACACCGCCTTCAACAAAAGCAAACACGTCGCTGTTGTTGTTGTGAAGTCTTATCTACTGTTGAGGCGCCGGCATCCCGAGACGATGCATGCCTCTACAAAACCACGGCTTGCGCGTCCACCCGAAATAGAGCATCAGTCATCTCCGCCGTCATGTCAACACCACACCCAACACCTCGGGCAACACTTCTCTCTACCACCTTTTGGGAAATCCTTCCGTCGCATTACGACAAGATCATAAACCGCTGGTCAAAAATCGCACACCTACATCACGAAGCAAAGTCCGACATTCTCGCCACCGACCGCGCTGGTGCTGTGGCCTCCATCAAAGCCGAACTGGAGATGCTGGAGCAGGATGTGGAACAGTATCGGAAGCTGGTGAACAGCATCGATATCACGGATATCGCAGGCACTTATGTTGTGGGTGGAAATTTGCCGCATCGCGCATTGGAGATCGCCAAGGAAGACAAGGAGGATTTAGAAGAGAGTTTACAGATGATCGAGGAGAAGGTGAAAGAGGTCAGGGCGGATGTAAGGTACGGGTTCGAAGAGGTAGATTTCGACTGGTCGACGTGTCCCTAGAGGCTACATTCCACTCCAGGTGTCAAGGTTTGAGCTGTAAACCAAGTTCGAGACAATGTGAAACTGACAGTATGGAATGTCAGTAGGCTAGCTGTTGAGTGATGAACAGAGTACGACTAAACGTGATTGTCATCCTACAATGATACCCCGCGACTCACATATTCGAATGTGTGATTATCCACCCATGATGTCTTAACCAGCTTCTCCCTTCACGCCCTGAGTTATAAAAGCAGGTCAGCAAGAAAAGATATGCAAAACATGTTCAAAACCACAGCGGCAAAAGTCAGCACAATGAGCGACGTCCATGACCCTCAAGACCGCCAACTGAGAGACCTGACATCCATATTAATGGACCTCGAGGATCGAGCCGACCGGGTACTGACAAGTCTTTACTTGCTCAAGCAGCTAGACGACGATTTTCCAGCTATCGAGACAACCATAGAGCAGCAAGACTGCGTTGATATCATTCGCTCCCATACCGAGAAAATGGAGGCCAACTTAGAGGTCATGGAGCGGAAGAGCGAGTTGCTAGACGATGAACGAGTCTGTGACTGGATGAACAACGGCAGAGATGACACAGAGAAAGAGAACAGGAACGAGTTTCTCAATCGATTAATCAAGAAGATGGAGGGTTTGCAGAAACAGATGGCGGAAGCGAGGAGGGGTTTTGTCGGATAGGGGCGTCGCAAAAGCTGCGCAGGTGCGAGGATGCCGTGTTGTCGTCAAGGAAACAGCAACTTTGCTAGATGCTATGTGCAGACTTCCTGCTTCTGCACTTGCTTGCTGGAAGCCTTCAATGAGTGCCGCTGAGTGTGCTACTCGAATGAGCATGCCCACTCGACAGGCTCTGGCAGTGGTGCTGTGTTGGGAATGTTGCCGCTCTCTCGGAACTCAACAATCTTCCTTTCTCCGTCCTCCTCTTTGACTACCGCGAATGCTGCGTTTGTGAAGTACAAGTCGCGTTTGACGCGGGTCTGGAAACCACCGGCCCACCCGATCATGTACACGAAGCCACCTTTATCGCCATTTATGTTGGGCACACCAAGGGTGTTGATGGGGCCATGCTTGAAAGGCGCAAAGGCCATGCCCAGTGTCGCATTGAAGATTGTATAGAGTCGCCGTGAGCCATCGAAGTCGTAATGCGTGTCGTTGAAGGTGAACTTGATGTCTTTCGAGAACGATTTGGCATGGCCGTTGGGCCAGTCTGTGTTCGCAGGGTATGGATAGAACCCTATTCCTGTATTAGCATGATGAGGTCTCAAGCGTATTGTCTTTTGTACGTACCATTGACAGCGCATTCTAACCAACTGCTAAGCTGAACGCTCGCATTTGCTGTTGGGGAGTCGGCCAACGAGCAAGGGTCGATTGCTTCATTCAAGAATTTGGGCGTGTTCGAGTCTAGTACCTCTTGCGGCGAGATATCGAATGCTGCGATAGATGCAATCAGACCGCATGTGGTGGCTTGAAATACGTCAGTTGTGATCAGAACTGTGGTTACAAGCCTCTTACCGAGGAACGGAAGGTAGCGCATGATATTAGTTGTTATGACCAAGAAGAGAGAAACCTGAGGAGCGTTGATCAAGAACCATATCTGTTGTGCGCCATACTTATAAGTAGACGGTGACCTCGTTACCTGCAGTCAAGGCTGACGAGGCTGACGGGCTGAAAGCGCAATGGGTGTAACGTTAACACAAGACAGGCAAGTGACCGGGGCGATGGCCGGCTTAGAGCTGAGTGGCTCCTCACCTGTTTGCAGCATGTCGACCAGTAAAACAACAGAGCCTGGTTTCCTGGACTTGATGAGGATGATGTAGGTTGAAGGTGTTAATTAGTGCTGTCAGCTACGAAGCTATCGGAAGCTGCCTTCCGCGCCGATGCGCACCGCGTCATGTTCGCGCCATCGCGGCCAGAGCTCCAGGGCGTCATCCTACGCAGCGCGGCCAAAGAAAGAGCTCTTCCCAAATAGCCCACCCACTCCTCTTGGCTTCTTGCCCATCTCAACAGTAGCCCTTTTATTGACGACCGCGAATCCACCTGTCCTTATGGCTTTCGCATTTGGATCAGTCTTGAATGCGCCACTTGGGGGCGCAGCGCCTATGGGCGTGGGCGGCGTGTTGGACATCTCAACAGCCTCTCTCTCCGCCCCGGACATCTCGGCGATCTGAGACGTTTGCGGCATCTGCGCAGGCATCCACTCTACTCTGATCGACTCATCGCGACTAAGCTTCTGGTCGTCAAACCACAGCTCGAAGCGGATATCCGCGGGTCCGATCAAGACGCGTACCGAGTACTCGATGCGCAGATAGTGCTTCTGCAACGACCAGAAGTGCTTGTTCTTCTCTTGGAACTTCTTCTCATCCGCTGCAGAGAGGTCTGAATTTATCTCGCAGAGGATGCGCGTGTCTGTGAGCTGTCAGAAAGCTGTTCATGGGTACGAGCGGAGCGGCCGAGCTTCGGTAGACATACATTGGTTCATTTGGTCTGGCAATATCGCCGCATCCAAGTCACTCTCGATGACAGTCGTCGGAAATGCCCTCCTTGGATCGCCCGGGTCGACCTTCTTGATGAAGTTGTGCTCGATCGGTTTGTCCACGCTTACTGGCGCGCCCTTCTTGACGAACCACGCTATCGACTGCGTGATGTACAGCTTGTTGTTCAGTGGGTCTCGAACAAGTTCCTTCCCTTGATGCTCGGGGTTCTTCCTGTCATACGCAATCTTGCACACAGTGCCATACGACGCTCGACAACAACGCCATCCGAGGACCGATCGCGACGTCAGGATCTTTCGCATACGATCGCTAACAAGACCTTTGCACACAGCGAGTTGAGGGTCAGGCGCTATGCTCACGGAGATCGACTCGGCGTTCGGGAAAGAGGTGCGCGCATAGTACTTTCGGAGCTGCGACTGCACATATGCGCTGTTGCCCAGCCCACCACTGAGAACTAGATGCGCTACATGCTCTCTTGGGAACTTCTGAAAAAGTGATTGCAGCTGCGTGTCGATGAGCTTGAACAGCTTCGCGATCTGCTTGTCGAACAGGCGCTGCAGGTCTTGCCGTTCAAACGTCATTTCACCGTTGCGAATTCGAACTTCCGGATCAGAGTTGCTGTACGTTTGCGGAACGCGCGGTATTCCTATACTGAACAATGGTGTGTCGTCTGGGGCGCCATACTCACACTTCACGGCTTGGAAATCTCGACTTTTCATCATCTCCCATCCGGCGTCCGCGGGGTCGACCGGTAGAGGATTTGTACTGTGTGCGAGCGTCAACCGATGCATCACTAGCCTCTCGAACTCATAATCGATAGCAGCGGATCCGATAGTCTCGCCAAACACAACGTCCATCTGCTGAAGATCGATAGCCTGGTTGACCGTGCCAGTGACTTTCAGCACGCTAAGATCAGTTGTTCCACCGCCGGCGTCACAGACTAGCAAGACATCATTCTCGCGAAAAATGCCTGGTGCTTCGGTTGATACATGTACCGCGGCGGCTTCGGCTTCCGTAAGACCTATCGCCACTTCGTGGTGCGGATGCGTCCCATAGCCCGCCTCTTTCACCAGTCGTTTGAAGTTCTCCACTGTTGGCATCGGAGCCCATGTGGTCGGCACGCTGAAGATGAACTCAATTCTAGCCTCTTCCCAGCCAATGCCAGAAAGCTCTCCGCCAAGCTTGAACGACAAGTACTCGTACATCTTCCGCAGATAGTCGCCATACCACTTCTCAACCTCCTGTAGGTTTTCGGGTGCGCCTTCTGGATCTTCCATCTGCTTTCGGTGGAGCTTCTCTGGGTCGAGGCATGTCTTGAACCACTCCTTGTACTCCTTGTCATCGGCCGCGGTCTCTGCAGCGGTCTCTGAGAGAAAGCCCCATGATGACGGATCCTTGGAGCCAATTGGGTAGACGACCACCGTTGGGACTTTGTTCTCGTTCGCCTGGAATCGTCCAGGCCACTTCTGTACCCAGCGAACAGTTTCGCTGCCTATGGAGAGGTTCACATATGCCACGCCGGTACCTGGAGAGATGTATCAGCCTTGGACTGGTGTGATAAGAAGCACGTGATCCAACGCAGCACACTAATCCGAATTGGGACTCGCATCCCCACGTGCCATTCCTCAGCCTCACCAGAACTTACACGTCATCCCAAGGTCTACACCAACAATCATATGCGGTCGCTCGTTTCGCTCCATCTTGTCTCGTTGTCGGTGACGCGGTCTTTGTTGTTGCCTTCCCGCCTGATCACGTATCTATAAGATGCAGAGACGATGCAGGTGCCTTGAGGCGGCCCCTATGTCTCAGCCTTGCGGCACAGCATCTTCTCGACCGATCACAACACGCGCCATTTCAGCCCCCGCATATGCTGGTTCTAAGTATACGGACTTTATGCATGTGGAGTACGCCTTGGGGGCCATAATCAGCGCGCTGCACCGTACATTCTGCGACGCTATGAATAACAAGGATGTATAGTATGTAGTTGCGCCGTGCGAAGCTATTGGAATGACCCATCATGTGACAAGAGATGATCGGGACTAGTGAGTTTGATCTGGAGGCGCGTTGGGCACGTATTGGTGGCAGGTTACTAAAACTGTCTATAGGGCGTGCGCTCACATCCTAGCCGCTCTGCCACTTCTACATTCAACTGCCTTGCACGCTTCTTACCCCTCTAGAATATCTCGGCCCTCACATTTTCCTACTGATGTAAGTCACGACTATGTCAGCTGCAAATACGAACCTCACAAGCGCGAAGACTTCCGAACCGCCTACGAACACAGCTACAATGACGACCTCGGTGCCATTCGTCATCTTTCCAGTGACAGAACCACCAGCAACTGTTCAGAATCCTCAAACCGGCACATACGAAAGCATCCTCTCTATTGATGGAAAGCCTGTAGTAACCGTGGCGGTATTGATGCCATACGCTGCATCGGGCTTCTCGTACAACAGACAAGTGGTGGCTCCCAATGCACCTCCGATCACCGTCGATGGTTTTATTCTGTCAGCGCACTTGAACCCGAATCAGATTCAATTCGTAGCTCCTGCTGTACCAGCCATCCCCACCCCAGATCCCACACCAGACCCCTCCACTGATGCGGCAACCACGTCTAATACTGCACGCGTGTCGGTTTCTACATCGACATCGAACAAAACTACCGGCCCGACCCCCACAACAGCTTCGCTGCCAGCAACCGCTGACTCGGGACTTGGGACGGGTGCAATCGCTGGTATTGCAGTTGGCTGCCTTGTTGCTGGTGCCTTGCTCGCTGGATTCATCCTGTGGTTCTGCTGGCGTAAAAGAAGACAGCCAAAGAATCATTATCCTCAACCAGATACGTATGCGTTAGCTTCGCAGGAGAAAGGGTTCTCCGCCAACACTACACCGTTAGCCGGAAAACGATCATCTGTAGCTGCTTTGGGTGGTGGACTTCCTCAGCCTTTGGAAGACAAAGCCATCTCTGGCAATGTTTCGAAAATCAGCAATGCCATCAAGAATCACGTCCAGAGTTACTACCACACCAGCCGTGTCAACCCTGGTCTCATCGATTATGAGGACCTACAGGCACTAGGACCAGGTCTACCAGTCTCCGTAGGAACGCTCACTACATTGATCGGAAATGCTGCAACTCGAGAGATTGCGCTAAGGTTCATCATCGCCTGGGTGATCGTATCGAAACTTCAACC